TATTATTATTATTATTATTATTATTATTATTATTATTAAAATTTGTATACCACCCTTCATCTGTAGATCTCAGAACACAAAAACACAAAATGCATAATAAAAATAAGAGCAAAAACAAGCACTAATCCCCCCAATCATTATTAAAGTGCAGTAAAATGAAAAGTGGGGGAAGAGAAATTCAAGCAGGAAGGGACAAACGACAGGCTAGGTAGCGCAGCCAGGAATTTAAGCTGTGCACGTGGCTGGCTATGCCAGGGCTCAGAGAAACCCCAGAGAAGCTGCAGCAAATTGCATCCCACACCCTCATTCTTCTTCCTTCTCCTCCACCTCACCAGAAAGGGGCAACATCTCATCCATCAACCTATTTCCAACAGGAGCCAGCTCAACGTGAACAATGGGAACCCTGCAATCAGAGTGTGATGGCAATAGCTCTCCACTGCTGACTCTCTTCTACATCTCATATTAAGGGCTATATTGCTTCTGAACATGACCGCTATTCAGAAGTTCTTAAACTGGATCCATGGACAGGCAGTGGCTCCATGCTCATGGGGAGAACTGTAAGAGTGGAATCCAATTAACCTTTACTGAGAACAGGCCATTTAAATTAATGGACCTAACCTTGTTCATTAATTTCAGTGGGTCTACTCTAAGTGCTCTATGGGGAGCCGGCTTCAGGCACCAGGCCCATTGGCAGACCAGTGCTGCAAACAGTGACAGGAAGGCTGGCAACAACCAGCCTTGCCATGTGGAAATCCCTTGCAGACAACCGCAGTGCCTGGAGACAGACAGTCAGGTCATGTATCTATAGCAGTGACTGGAGGAGAAATGGCTTGCTAGGAGGAGTGCAGAGAGAAGAAGCATCTGCAGCAGCACAACCGGACACCTTCATCTGCCCCACCTGCAGCAAAACATGTCTCTCCAGTATCAGTCTCTACAGCCACAGCAGGCTCTGCAACCTTCCAGCAGCTTGACCACCCCCAAAGACACACTCCTGCATTGTCTCCCAAGGCAGAGGGATGTCAACAACTCTGAATAAGTTAGTTGCATACCATCCTAAGTGTGTTCAGCCAAACACATTTGCGATCAGCATTTAGACCTCCTGTTGGGGTTATCGCATGACTCTCACTGCCCATTCACAAATGCATGATGAGTAGCCATTGATAGACTTATTCTCCATGGTGACAAGGGTGGGGAAACTACAGTCCTCCAGATGTTGTTGAACTCCAACTCCCATCAGCCCAGCCACCATGACCAATGGTCAAGGATGATGGGAGTTGTAGCCCAGCAACAGGTTCCTCACTCCTGCTTTTAGGATATAGTCTAATCTTTACTTTAAAAGCCACTTAAGCTAATGGCCATCATCACTTTCTGTTATCTGCCCTGAATTTGCTGCTCATCCATTTCATCAGTTAACTCTCCAATATGGTGGCAAGGGAGAAAGAGAGAGATTCTCTGCCACCACATTGTAGTGAATCCCCATGACAGCTTGTTACAGTATAAGGAGACGGTGGCAGCTGGTTATTCCAAGAGTCTTCTGTAAACTTGAAAGAGACGTTAAGGGGATCTGTTCAACATTGCTTTCTAAATGCAGTGTCATCCTTCCATCCTTGTCAGGTCCCATTAGTTGCAGGAAGGCATCATGAGCACTAAATAGTGAAAGAGAGACCAGGCTCCTTTGGAAAGCAAAAAAAACAACAGACATGTGTAATTTCTCTACTGTGAGATGGATTTGAAACAGTGGGAAGGGGGTCTGGAGGCAGACATTAATTGAACGCCTGTGCTATCTCCTTTCAATGCTCAGGCTGTAGCAGGAGATGTGCTGAGACATTTTCTCCCAGAAAAGGCTTCAAGCTTCATTTTAGGGGTCGCGTTTCTAACATTTGCAGAGGGAAAATTGTCAATTTCTTTGTTCCCGCTTCTAATTGAAATTCTCCCGGAAGCCCCTTGCTTAAAAACACATATGGTTTCTTAATCTCCTTCTTGAAGCAAGCAGATACAGTAAAACAGCTGAAGTTGTTGTTTTGATTATTCATTCTGAGCAAAGTTTGCAAAAGCTTTGAAGCAGGCAGGCTAACTCAGCTCCCCCACATTTCACCACCTGAATGTCATTATTTTCTTCCAGATGGACATGAGGTGATATGATGACAACACTATTGCTGTAACCTAATCATGTCAGAAATAGCATTTAAATTCAGTTATGGGTTTTAGAGCATCTAGGAACCAAATGTTTTCCCTTTGCTGGCTTTTTAGGCTGGTGTTTATAATGATTCTGTGCTGCTCCATTTCTATGCTATCTTGAATCTGTTTTATGTTGGGTTCTGAGTTTTTATGTCATTTGTATTGAGATTGTTTTATTGATTGCATTGCATTGGTGTATTCTATTGATTTTTGTAAACTGCCGAGAGGACAGTTGAATGGGAGGTCTAGAAATGGGAAGGCTGCCTGAATGAATTAATGAATGCTGAAGCACGATGATGATTTTGCATACCAATCCAATTTTGAAATCCATTCCAGGCCACCTAAGGTGTAACACCTCTGGCCATAGTTGCTCATTTCAGGAAGGTTATTTTGTGATGGAAGCACCTATATAGCATGAAACGATTCCATCTTTTCCCACTTCAGGCTGTTTCCTATCTGAAGACGGGGCAACCCAGCCAGATGGGTGGGGTAAAAAGAATATTATTATTATTATTATTATTATTATTATTATTAATTATTATTATATTTATTTGGGGCACAGCGCCACAGGGGAAAGGGAAGATGGTAGCCCATGGCATAATTTTTCTCTCTTCATTCACCCTTCATGTTATTAAGCCCTTGGTGGTGATACATCAATGCCTTAAAATAAAACAACCCCATAAATCATGCAAGTAGGTTGTTCAGATTGAGAATGCATGGCGGGGCATCCTGTAACAGGACTATCGTGGGGCAGCACTTCTACAACAAAGAGAGATACTCTTTATCACCATTTAGTTTTATTTTATTTGTTACATATATATTCCCACCTTTCTTCCATTTTGCAGCTCACAGTGGAACTCATGCCTTAGCTCATGGGAGGACTGCTAGGGAATAGGCGATGGGATCAAGGAATCGCAACAAAGCACCTGACTGCAGTGGCCTTTCCTCTTCTTCTCCCTTTCCAGTTTATAAAAGCTGGGCAGAGTCCAAACATCAGAATGAACTTGGCAAGCTGTCAGCTTAAGAAATTGATCCAACATTATTATTTTTAAAAAAACAACAACCCCACTCTTCTCAGACACCACCTTAAAATAATATTGCAATGAAGGTCTGCTTTCACACTACCATCTGAGTAAACTGGCGTTTGTGTGCTTATCAGCCATACAAATTTATCCTTTTATCTAAGGAACAAACTGGGTTCATTTAGCCTCAGTCATTATAAACAATAAAGAACAGACTAGAGCCAACAAGCCCGTGGATAATCTCAAAGCCAATATATACACCCCTGACCTTTTCCCAATCCTTCCCTGGTTGTACAATGTTAGCAGCAGGAAGGGATATTAACGCTTCCTTGTAAGTCGTTCAGTCTATAAACTCTGGAAACACAATGCATTCAGACAGCAAGCCTGTTGGGTGGGAAAAATCACTTTCGGAACTGACTCCATCTGTGTGTGTGTGCCCATGACCCTAGCCCTACCATTAGGCAAAGTGAGGCAGCTACCTCAGGCAGCAGATCTTGGGTGTCAAAGAAAGGCAGCAACTTGTTATTTAAAGTGTATTTTTTCTACCAGGATAGAGAAAAGTTACTTGTGAGATTTTCTGCTTCAGGAATCACCATAACTTGACTGGCCTTGGGTACTGTTCAGCATAACTTGAGAGGTGGCATTTACTATTATGCCTCAGGCAGCAAAATGTATTGGGCTGGCTTTAGTGTGTGTGCTTCTCATTTTAATGATCTTTTGTATGGTTCTTGAATTTCAGAAGCGAGAGCAGTAGGGGTGGGAATTGACAAATACGAGGAGGGAAAACCAGAAACTGGGCACAAACGGAGGTGTGGAGAAAAAGAAAAACAGCATGATGATGAGGCCTGTTTGATCTTGGCCAGAAAGGTCAGAATCTGAATCACATTTCAAATTCAGTCAGCAGAGCACTTGCAAGTGGGATGTAGCAGGGTGCCTTGCATCAATTTTGCTTTTTGTCTCCCTCCACTAGGAGACAATGACAGTGCAATCCTATGCATGCTTATTCAGCAATGGGACTTACACCTAGCAAGTGTGTTTAGAGTAGCAGCTTAGCAGTGCAGTCCTATGCATGTTAATAAGGGCAGATCCACACCACACATTTAAAGCACATCCAATGCCCATTTAAAGCACAGGACTTCCCACAGAGAATCACAAGAACTGTGGTTTACTGCTAACAGAGCTACAGTTCTTAATACCCTTCACCCAGTTCTTAGGGTGTTTGGGGGAACGTCATTTGCTTTCAATGCAAGCTGGATATGTTTTTAATGTGTGATGTTGATCTGAAGGTTCAATAGAACTGGCTTAATTAGGGTTGCTGCCTAAATGAAGTATTAAATTATTAACTGTATTAATTTTCTCCATAACGAGTTCCTGTCCTTTTCACAGGAACGGACATGATGTTCAGAGCAGGAGGAACCAAAGTCCAGGTGATAACCAATGAGTTTCTGATAAAATAGGACTCTGGAAAAGGAACCTTTCTTGCAAGCCTCTACACTAACTTCCCTCGGTCACATAATACAAGAATGAAATGCTCCTTCCACCGTCTTCCAACATGTACAAAACCTTTCAGACAATGGCCTTGGGCTGGTCCACACTGAGTCACCCATAGGACATTGCAGGGTGCTTTTCTTGGAATCAAATCAATTTTACATAGACAGCATTGGACGGTAGCCTGGAGCAGGCCCCAACCTTTGTGTGTCAAGGTGTCCTTTGCACAGCACCCTGGCTTTTTTATTTGCTGGCTATTCCAATAAGGAGCCCCGGCAATTAAAGCAAAAAATGGGTGAAGAAACATAGGAAACCCACATAGGCACAGACAGCCCCCTCCCCCGGGATCCTGGCAATGCTGGAGGGACAGCTGTTGTGGGAAAGGAAGTCTTGTAAAGAAGGGTTGGCAGGGAGAGGGGGAGAGGGAAGGGAGCCACAGATCACCCCTTCTGCTAGAGGAGAAGACACTGACCTGAGAAGAACTGGCTGATGGACTGAGGCAGGAGAGTGAGGAATGCCAGTGGGTTGGCAAAGGAGGTGGAGAGCACAGTGGAAATGTAAGCCAGCCCTGCCACCAAGGAATCCAGGCAAGCCAAAGCAGTATACAGGCAGAACATGACGAAGTTCCTCATGTTCCTGCTCCCAATGCAGTTCCCTGTGAAGAAACAGTGGTGGTCATGCCTTTGGGTGACCCGGGCACACAGTCTACAGAAGTGAGTGTTGGGTAAGGCCGAGCCAGGGGGGCAGCTCCCATCGGGCCAGTCGGGGGCCACCCCATCGGCTCCTCCGACCCAGTTCAGGCCCTTGCTCAGGTCCTCGGGGGTGTTCTGGATCACCAGGATGTAGTTGCCCAGCGCGTTGGCCGAGAGGAAGAGGAAGAGGGCGCCGTGCAGCAAAGCGGAGGAGCAGAAGAGCGGGGTGGCGGAAGGGTCTTTGAACATGCTGGGGATGAAGAGGAAGAGCTGGAGGACGAAGGTCACACAGGAGATGCACAGGAAGTAGGCAGGAGCGACCACATTGAGGAACCTGAGGACTAGCATTGTGGATTACATTCCTGCAACGGGGAGCAAGAAGAGAGAGCAAGTGGTCACCAGCCTAGCCTGTGGACTTGCACTTTCCCAGGCACACAAGGATTCCCCATTCGCCCCCCGCCCACCCGCTGCTGGAGAAAAAGAAGCACCTCCTCACAGGTCTCCTTGGCTCTTTATCCCTCCCAACCTGCTCCCTTCCCCAGTGGAATCTCTCACAAACACACCGCACACATTTCGCCTCCTAGCTCTGCTCAGCGGTGCACAGGAGGACAAACTCAAAGGTTCGCTCTCCATCGCTGAGCCTCAGGTCTGGCTCCCGGGCCCTGCCCCTGGCGGGCAGCATTGCCACTGAGATGCCAGGGGCCGCAGTCCCTGGAGTGTCTCTCTCAGGTTGCCTGCCTCTTGCCTGCCTGCCTATCTGCCTGCCTGCCGGTTGCACCGCCACCCAGCTCTCTCTGCTCCTCGTGGCCCCCTGTTCTGGAAGGCTGCAAGACACCCTCGCCGGGGAGCGAGTCCCCTTCAACTCCGAGGAGGATTTGCGTGTGTGCTGAGCAGACCTGCCGAGGCTCGCCCTACAATTCAGGAGTTCCTCTTCTTCCATGCAGGGCGCCGTTATTATTTTATTATGCGCTATTAATTAGATAGCGGGGAGGCGAGGATCCGGGTGGCGGTCCTAATCCGCTGCAATACGGATCAAAAACGATGCTCTAATTTCGCCTGGAAAGCCACAAATCCGCAGATTACCGCGGCGGCTGTTGCCGTGACATGGGCATCATCAGGAAATGCTCCAAACAGCTGCTTAAGTGCTGCCGGGCACCAGCCGCCAGCGGTGCGCCAGCAAGGAACTCTGTCTGTGGCTTTCAGCCTGTCTGGCATCGCTGCTCCGTCAAGGCGCATCGCAGAACGAAGCAAGCCGACATCCACTCCCACTCCCCACGCAGCCACCCACCTTAAGGAACGCGGGGGCTCAGACACCCAAACAGGGAGGTGTTGCTACAAGTCTACCTCCCCCTCGCCACACACACACACACACACACCCCTTCACTTTCCCTCTCCACCCCGCCTTCCTCACCCAGCTCTCCACGCTTGGCTTTCTCTTCCAAAACAAATCCATGTACGACACACGTACTTCAAATGTGGGAGAACATTGCTAACAAGGCGCCCCGGCGCCCCAGCCTGTTCTCGAGGGGCCGCCCCTTGCCTCTGTCCATGGTGAAGGCGAACTTAGGCGCTGCCTTCGTTGCGGAGAGGCGAGGAACTCTGTCCGCTCCCCGGATCTGATGGTCGCCGCTGGGAACTTTTCTGTGCTCCAGCCCTGCGGGCGGGTGACTTGGCGAGGGACCTGCCAGGAGTCTCCACTTCCCCAGTCAGCTCCGTCTGGCTATCTGTCTGGCAAGGAGCGTTGAATTCACCTTGAAGTCCCCTTGCTCGCTGCCTGGATAGGTCTTCCCCGCCGTCCCCATATTTACCTGGAAGCCTGGAGCGGAGCGGAAGCTGCTGTTCCTTCAGCACCAGCCAGCCCTGTGCGCCGCGAAGCCCCCGGGCCAGCTGCTGCTTCCCCCCCCTCCCCGCCTGATCTCCCTCTCTCCACCCCCTCCAGCCGCCGCGGTGTGAACAGCAAAGGCGCTCGGAGAGTCCCCGTTAGCAGCACAGCCGCTACTACCGGCAGCCCACCCTCCCGCCCGGGCTCCGTGGGGAGCCCTCCTTTCCCCGGCTTTCCTAGGGGAGCTGTCCGCCCCTTCCGCAACCCTGTCGGGGAAGCGCTTCGGGAGCTCGGCGGGGAGCTGTCCCTTCAGCACCACCAGCCAAGCAAGCCGCCTATGGAGCGGCGGGGGCGGGAAGAGAACTCTCAGGAAATCCGAAAGAGGTGCGCTCCCACCTGGAGTCCCTCCGGAGAGTCTCTCCTGCGGATGACCCGGTTCTCTGATCCTGAAAACTAAAGAAGGTAAGGAAGGAGAAGGAAGTTGTGCTCACTGCTCCCTCCTGGCGTGCCTTAAGAAGAGGAGCCCTGCTGGGTCACACCAAAGGTCCGGCTAGTTCAGAGCTTCCCACAGTGTCGAACCAGAAGCCTGTGGGATGCTTAAGAGCAAGGCATAAGGGCAACAGTTGCCCACAGCATGTGGTATCCAGGGGCTTATTGCCCCTGAATCAGGAGTTTTCAGTTGGCTATTCTGGCTAAAGGCTGTGTTTCCCTGCAGGTGTGAGATGCGCAAATACCTTCCCAGTGCTGCCTCTCTTTAGCAACCCAAGGGATAGGTAACCTCTGCTGGTGCAAAAGAAATACGAGAAAGTTTGAGATGGCATTATCATATAATTTAGGGTAAAAGCCAGCACCTCCCAAAGGTGTTTGGTGTGCATTGGACATGGGCTTCTGGAAACAATACATAGGTGGAAGGCTCGTTCATCCAGAATGTCTCATAGTGATCTTCAGTATCAATTGAGAGTCTTTCACTGGAGCAATCAACTCTTGATGGTGGTGGCATATAAAAAGGCCCAGTTGGTGACTTCACAGCTGTGTGTCAATTCCCCCCTGCCATGGAGATCCACCAGAGCCAAGCATAAACATATTTCAGAAATTTTATAAAACCTTCCTGTTTGCCTTACTTTAGGGGTCACATAAACCTTCAACCAAAGGTGAATAGATGACCTGTGAAGGTGGGAAGTGTCATGTTGGAAATGGAGCCACCGAATAAAAAAGCTCTGTGGTGTTTGGTGATTTCCAATGTGCAAATTATCTGGGCTTGTAGGGAGCTGTGGAGCCAGGAGCCTGGCACAGTGGAGACTACTGTTGTCCAGGCAAAGCCCTAGTCTGAGATGACTAGTATTTGCATTCATACAACATGTAGTCTGGCTTCACACGTAGAAGCATAGATCCTTCTGGACCTAGACCTCTGCAGTTTCTGATAAACACCTCTGGTTTATATGCACCTGGGAACTCTCCCAGATTGACTTGAAATGATCTAGGGAGTATGAATATATGAAGCTACCTAATACGGATCAGAAAATTGTTCCATCTAGCCCAGCTTTTACTCTGATTGGCAGTAGCTCTCCAGGGTCTCACGAAGAGGTCTTCCCCTTCACATGCCATGTGATCCTTTTAGCAGAAGATGCCAGGGACTGAACGCCAGGGACCATCTTCATGCAAAGCAGCTGAACCGTTGCAACCTCTACTACAGAACCCTTAGGACCTCATCAACTGGGCTGATGTTTGCAAGATTTGTTATTGTTGAGAACTGACTGTTTAGTTTTGTGTGTTGTATGTATGGGGGGGTTGCACATCTTCTCAATTTAGTATGTTGACATCTGTGCTGAGCCCTAAGGAATTTTTAAAATCTAGATCAATAAATTAAAAGGACAGTTAAAGCATTAAACCAGTTTATAATTACCTGTACAGTATTTTTACAGCAAAATCCAGACAAGGCTGTTGAGGACTGACCAGGGTCAAATGTGGCCTACCTGTATTGCAATTTACTGATAACTAAATCATAAAAATGTATTATTTTTTCTGCATTGTGAGAGTATTTTATTTCACATGCATCGTCCTCCCCTGAGCAACTTTCTTCCCAGACTCCTATGCAAAAGACTTACAGTTGTCTTGCTTCCCAAATCTAAAGGGCACTATACTTTTATACATGTATACATACATTTTAACTGTGCAACATTGTGAAAGACACAAATACAGTGGACGCTTGGGCTGCGAATGTGATCCGTGCAGGATGCACGTTCGCAACCCACAGCATTCGCAACCCGCTGCGGTGTGTCTGCGCAAGTGCGGGTTGTGATTTGGTCTTCTGCGCATGCGCAAAGTGTGATTTAGTGCTTCTGCACATGCATGACCACCGAAACCCGGAAGTAACCTGTTCCGGTACTTCTGGGTTTTGGCGGGTCCGTAACCCAAAAAAACGCAACCTGAAGTATCTGTAACCCGAGGTATGACTGTACACAATTTTTGCAATAGCTATAAATACAGTTTCTCACAGTGATTGTATGCATACATACACATAAGGCTTCACATAGAGACACCCCAACTGGATACACCTCTAGAGCTTAAACCCTGCAGTATGAAATCTTCTTCTTAATAGTCTCAACATTCTAAATTACTCTTCATCTAAAAGTTATGAATCCTAAACCACAAGATGGAAGAAGCAGATAATCTAACACCTTTCCTCCTTCATCTTTTTCAAAAGCATTCCTAATTGTTGCCTGCCCAATTTTTTTTCCTGGAAATGCTTCAAGGGAAGACGTTCTATGGTCTCCCATGGCATCTTACTCTAGTGCTGAACTACTTTTGTAGTAGTTATAAAGTCTTCCTTTCTGCTTAACTTACATCTGCCTTCTTTCAAATGAGCCTCAGGTCCTCACTGAGCAAAACACATTTCTCCATTTGGTCTCTTTCACAGCCACTTAACAATACAAAAATTGCTTTTCACCCACACAGCGTGAGCCTATGCATATTTAGCAAGATTTTTATTGATGTTTTTAATTATGTTTTATAGCTATCTAGAGACTAGTTTTATTGTATTTTATATGTTGCAAGCCACCTTGTTATATTTTATGAAAGAGCAGATTATAAATTTTCAAACAAATGAAGAAGCCACATTGAGTTCCATGCAATTTGCTCCCAAATAAAGACCACACAATTCTTTTTTGTTCAAACTTGCCTTTAAGACCCTTTTTATCCTCAGCTATACATTTTCTGATCTTGCCAATGCCTTTCTATAATGGTGATTTCTCTAAGGCTGACTTTAGAGTGCAGTATACAATTCACCAAGAGGTGCAAGACACCTGGGCCTTCCAATGCACCAACATTTCCTCTTGAAATCAATGGAAGCTGTACAAGTCCAGGGTACAATGGCGGCTGGTAGGGTGAAGGGCAGGGAGACCAACAGTAAGGGGGGCCAGAGCCAATGACAGGCAAGACGAATCCCTGAGTGGGGGCAGATCCACACCATGCATTGGAAAGGCCCGTCCAATGCACATTTAAAGCACATGGCTTTCCCCAAAGAATACTGGGAACTGTAGTTTGATAAGGGTATGGAAAATTTGTGAGTGGGAAACTATAGTTCCCACAATTTTTTTACCAAAGCCATGTGCTTTAAATGTGTGTTGAATGCACTTTAAATGTATGATGTGAATCTGCCCTGGTTGTAAGACAGAAGGCAGGCAGGGGCTAGCTGAGCACAGATTAAATTTGGTGAGCCAGTGCCCCATTTAGCCTACGTTACCCTGGTAGCCAATAGAACTTGCACAGAAAAACATCAAGGTAGATTGTGCCAGTAGTCTCTTTTTCATGACTATAGCAGGCAGGCAGGGTGAGGCTCTCTTAATATGTTGATTCAACATAGTGTAAGCCTTCAATAGAAGGGATGCATGCGACATACCAGCCTGGGAACTATTTTTAACGAAACAGTGCTTTCTACATATTTTAACAGCTTTCATCTTTGGGGGAGAGGATGCATATAAGGCTTTTCATGTAATGACAGGTTTGCAGACGAAAGGGAATGACTAACATGAAAGGCATTAATCCTCCCCATATCAGCCGACCACAAGTTATAGTTTATTAATGAAATGTATAACAGAAATTGAACAGCTTTCCCCAAAGGAGTCATTACAGAGGCAAAGTAATTTGAGCTCGGCTCTCTCATTAAAATGGTCCTCTCTGTTTCGATGTCCATAGATCAACTGCACACGAGAGTGTCATAGTTTAGAACAGGATGCGAACAAGGAGGATGTGCAAAAAAATTAAAAAATGTCGCTGTGCAGAGTTCTCCCATCTCATTCCCCTCACATCTGTTTTTGCATCTGTGTCCCCTTCCCAACAGTCAGACATCATTGGGTGGCTACTGAATACACTCAATTCTCACTGGACTGTTTTGGGGGTGTTCCCCCCACCCACACCCCACGGTGGCCAATCCCATTTCACCGCCTGATGACTGGTGCTCAGAGAACTGAGACTGCAATTGGTATATATGATCAGGGCTTGTTTTCAGTCGGAACTCACCAGAACTCAGTCCTGGCACCTCTCAGATGGGTGCCATTGCCATTCTAAGAGAATGAGGGAGGTGTTCAGGGTGAGCTCCAGCACCTCTTTTTCTTAAGAAAACAACAGCAAACCAACACTGTATATGATCATATACTTTCCCTTCCTTTCATCTGTGAGAGGCTATGTAGCCTAGCATTCTGTTTCCAACAGCAGTCAGTCAGATTTCTTCTGAGCATACATTCTCATTCTGTTGCTTATCCCCAACATCTGGAATCCAATGGCATAATGTACATGAAAATTCAATTTCCCTGTCAGGGCTAATATCCAGAGAAAGATCTACCTCCGGTGATTTTAGCTAATTCTTTTTTCTAAAAAAAATCCAAAATAGCTGGCCTCCACCTCATCTACTGTTACTCAGTTCCATTAGTTAATTATATGAAGAGTTCAGGTCATCAGCTGTATCATGTAGCCTTTAACCAATTACGAATGTGTGAAAATCATAAAGTGTTGGGTGTTTGACAATGGCATTTTAAAGATGGACAAATGTACTGTCGCTGAGCATTCATGGGTTACAGCCCTTTTTGTCTGGTGCTTATGTGTGCCTTGCTTCTGCTGTTGCTGCTATCTGCCACGAGCCATCTTTGGGGGCTGAGGTCATGGATTTGGAGGTATCTGAGTGGGGGAGAGAATTGCCCTCAAAAGCAGCCCCAGACATCAGTTTTAACTGCCCCAGTTAAAACTGCCCCAGAAGCAGTTTTAGAAGCAGGTTTCCAGCCTGAAAAGGTGTGGCCAGCCCATCCCAGCCCATCCCAGAAGCCCCAGTAGAACTGCAGACTCTACTGGCAAGAGTCTTAATAGCACAAGGATGGAAGAATGAAGAAATCCCAACAAAAGAGCAGTGGCAAGGGAAATTGATGAACTATGTGGAACTGGAGAAATCGATGCATAAATTACACGACAAGGACAACTGTGATTTTAAAGAAGAATGGGAACCCTTTACAAAGTACTTAAAGAAACAACAAAATGAACTGATCTCCTTGGCAGGTTTCGAACAAACAGACACAAATTTATTATTGGTAACATATAGACACATAAATTAAGGATCATTACAATTTTAGAATATGCAGAGAGTAACATGTGTTCAAAAACCAGAGAGGGGTGGGTTCTTTTTAGGGAGGGGGGAGGGAAATTTATGGGGGGGGAAATGAGGTTGTTACGTTTTTGATAAATTGTTTTGTTGAAATGTTTAATAATAATAAAAAAATTAAAAAAGAACTGCAGACTCTACCAAGCTACTGGAGTCAATGGCTGTTGAAGCAAGGAGGGCCCTTTTAACTGAGGAAGTGTCTCACGCTAGAAGCATAGCTAGCCACCTAGATGGAGCTGTCACTCTATTTAAGGCTTGGCCTGGGGTTGCTCCATCGAAGCCTTGCTCCTACGAATCTCCAAGCTGAGCTCTCTCTGCAGTTGTTCAGGGCACAGCTATCTATCTGCACCCTGAACTCTCACTTTGTCTTGCTGCTATGCTTCTGGCATGACTCAAGGTTCTGGGTTATGATCATTTATATCCAAAATAGCTTGAGACCAGAATAACCTGAGGGCTGCTTTCCTCTGTACAAACTGGCCAGGAGTTTAAAACATTTTTATATTGCCCTTCATCAGTAAACTGTCATTGTATGCCATCTGGCAAAGGGACGTGTTGCTTTTATGTGCCGCAGGGTTCTGTCCTGGGCCCGTTGTTGTTCAACGTCTTTATAAATGACTTGGATGAAGGAACTGAGGGGATGCTCATCAAATTTGCAGGTGACACCAAACTGGGAGAGGTAGCTAATGCCGCAGAAGACAGAATCAGAATTCAAAATGGCCTTAACAGATCAGAGCACTGGGCGCAAGCTAACAAAATGAATTTCAATAGGGACAAATGTAAGGTTCTGCACTTAGGCAGGAAGAACCAGATGCACAAATACAGGGTGGGGGACACCTGGCTTACTAGCAGTACATATGAAAAGGATCTAGGGGTCTTGGTGGACCACAAGCTTAACATGAGTCAAAAGTGTGATGCAGCAGCAAAAAAAAGTTAATGCTATTCTAGTACCACTCTATTCTGCCTTAGTCAGACCACACTTGGAATACTGTGTCCAATTATGGGCACCACAATTTAAGGAGCTGGGGCTGTTTAGCCTGGAAAAGAGGAGACTGAGAGGAGATTTGGTTTTGGGGGGGTGTTATAATTTTCCGACACATACATTTAACTGCTTTTATAATCATTTTAACATTTTATAATTTGACTTCCTTCCCCCTCTTTCTGTGGTTCCTTAAATTTATTTTTAATATCTTCTGTATATCCAAATTAACTTAACTTACTCATTGAAGGGAAGATGAAGGGAAGATTCTGGAGCAGATCATTAAGCAAACAGTCTGTGAGCACCTAGAAAGGAATGCTGTGATCACCAATAGTCAGCATGGATTTCTGAAAAATAAGTCATGTCAGACTAACCTGATCTCGTTTTTTGACAGAATTACAAGCCTGGTAGATGAAGGGAATGCAGTGGATGTAGCCTACCTTGATTTCAGCAAGGCATTTGACAAGGTGCCCCATGATATTCTTGTAAAGAAGCTGGTAAAATGCGGTCTTGACTATGCTACCACTCAGTGGATTTGTAACTGGCTGACTGACCGAACCCAAAGGGTGCTCATCAATGGTTCCTCTTCATCCTGGAGAAGAGTGACTAGTGGGGTGCCACAGGGTTCTGTCTTGGGCCCGGTCTTATTCAACATCTTTATCAACGACTTGGATGATGGACTCAAGGGCATCCTGATCAAATTTGCAGATGACACCAAACTGGGAGGGGTGGCTAACACCCCAGAGGACAGGATGACACTTCAAAACGACCTTGACAGATTAGAGAACTGGGCCAAAACAAACAAGATGAATTTTAACAGGGGAAATGTAAAGTATTGCACTTGGGCAAAAAAAATGAGAGGCACAAATACAAGATGGGGACACCTGGCTTGAGAGCAGTACATGTGAAAAGGATCTAGGAGTCTTGGTTGACCACAAACTTGACATGAGCCAACAGTGTGACGCGGCAGCTAAAAAGCCAATGCAATTCTGGGCTGCATCAATAGGAGTATAGCATCTAGATCAAGGGAAGTAATAGTGCCACTGTATTCTGCTCTGGTCAGACCTCACCTGGAGTACTGTGTCCAGTTCTGGGCACCACAGTTCAAGAAGGACACTGACAAACTGGAACGTGTCCAGAGGAGGGCAACCAAAATGGCCAAAGGCCTGGAAACGCTGCCTTATGAGGAACGGCTAAGGGAGCTGGGCATGTTTAGCCTGGAGAAGAGGAGGTTAAGGGGTGATATGATAGCCATGTTCAAATATATAAAAGGATGTCACATAGAGGAGGGAGAAAGGTTGTTTTCTGCTGCTCCAGAGAAGCGGACACGGAGCAATGGATCCAAACTACAAGAAAGAAGATTCCACCTAAACATTAGGAAGAACTTCCTGACAGTAAGAGCTGTTCGACAGTGGAATTTGCTGCCAAGGAGTGTGGTGGAGTCTCCTTCTTTGGAGGTCTTTAAGCAGAGGCTTGACAACCATATGTCAGGAGTGCTCTGATGGTGTTTCCTGCTTGGCAGGGGGTTGGACTCGATGGCCCTTGTGGTCTCTTCCAACTCTATGATTCTATGATTCTATGATTCTATGATTCTATGATTTATTTATCTTCTTTCAATATATACTCTTATGTAGCTGCAGATTATTACAATAATCCTGCCACTGTTTTTATCTGTTTACAATTTATCTGTAAATATTTGATAAATCATTTCCATTCCTTTATAAAAAGTTTGTTATCTTGATTTCTTATATTCGTCTGGTAAGTTTCACCATTTCTGCATATTCCATAAGTTTTTGTATCCATTCTTCCTTTGCTGGGACTTCTTCTTTCCATTTTTGGGCAAGTAACATTCCTGCCACTGTAGCTGCGTACATGAATAAATTTCTATACAATTTAGGTAGCTCTATAATTCCCATGAGAAAGACTCCCATGGGAGGTGGTGGACTCTCCTTCCTTGGAGGTTTTTAAACAGAGGTTGGATGGTCATCTGTCATGGATCCTCTAGCTGAGATTCCTTTATTGAAGGGGGTTGGTCTAGATGACCCTTGGGTCCCTCCCAACTCTAAGTTCTATATTTCTATGATAGCTTGGTTTACTCAGGAGACCTTGATGAGGGAGTTTATCAAAAGCTTTTTGTAAGTTCAAATACATAAAGCATACCAGATCACCCATACCTATATGTTAGTTGACAGGGACACTATGAAATAATTCTAAAAATCTGGTGATGCAGGACTTCCAATCATAGACACCATGCTGAGTTTTCCTCAAGAGGACTCATTACTCCACATGCTTAATAATTCTAGATGTACAAAGCAATCCTAAGTATAGGAAGTAGGCATAAATCACCCCTATTCCAAACTCTGCCCAGGAGCAAGATTACTGCTGGCTGAGCCAGTCTAATGGAGCACTCCAACCCCAGGATCTACCAGGACGAGGAATTTAGGATCCAGTGGGTCTCCAGCTCAGGCCACTGATCCCTGGTATAATTGGGCTATGCCAACATAAGCTCCACATCCCAGCTCAGAGAAACACCAGCATAACTATCTCAGCCCAGATCACATGAGTTGCAGCGGCCCTGCTCCTGATCAGAGTTTAGAATAGGGATAATTTACACCAGTGTCACTTAAACCAGTGTAAATTCCACCAGCTTCCAACCAACTGTGCCTGAGATCTGCTGGATCCTAACTTGCTCATCCCAGTGAATCTTGCCTTTGGATTGCTTCCTTAATCTTGCTTTTCACTAACTTACCTTGGATAGAAGTTATTTCCTGTATTCTTGACTGCATCCCTTTGAAAAACATTTAGTACATTGAGTACCTTTCAACTGCCCAGTAACAAGGCTGATTTTGATAAGCTGCATATATTGTTAAAGATAGTTAATTTCAGGATGGCATTTACCCAAAAGTCCTTAAAGAATTCCACAAGTTCTACACAGACTCTTGGATAAATGCCACCCAGAATATAGTGTTTGTTAATTTTTAACTTACCAATTAGCCTCAGAGTTTTATATGTTGTAATCCCGATAGACTTAGTCCATCAGAAGCTCTCGCCAAAAACAGTGTTTCAGGCAGGCCATGAATATTTCTCCAAAGTTTACACATGGCTTTATCTGCAACCTGCCTATCCTCCTCCAGGAATCTTTCCACACCTTTATCATTCAATGGTCCCACTGGTGGGGGAACATTCTACTTCTGCTGTCTTTGAAAGGGTGTGTATTGCATGCTTCAATGTCTTTAGCAATAGGTTTCCTAAGCTTCGAGGTTTTTGCTTGCTTTGCTATCAACTTAGCGTTCTGCCAGATCTCATACTCCTTTTTATTTTGCTCCTTTGGAAAAGAAAATTCTACTTTTTAAAAGGAAGCCATTTTGCCACCTTGGCTCTATTTGTTAATGACACGCAAGCTCTGAAGTTGCCACTATGGATGGCTCTGTGCCCATTTTACAAATGTGTTCCCAAGGACAGGCAGGGGTACATCATAGGCAGCATTTCTGTATTATGTGATCTGCTCCCTTTGTTATTGCTGCATCTTTGTGACATTGATGGATGATGTCAACACTTATGACAAAGGGGAAGGAAGGAGAGCACTCCTTGGCTCTGATAGGCTCTTCAAGGGTACCACCTGCCTGTGTAATCTAAGAAGGAGGCAGGAAGGCAGAATGGAGCAGGCTGACTGGATGGCTGGATGGGAGTGAGCAGAAGAGGGAGGTCACAAAGGGAAGAGGCTGGTTGGGGGAATTTGTGGGGTGTGTGTGAACAGAATGTGGGATGGATAAATAAGGAGGGGAGAGAAACAAAATGGATGTCCTTGCCCACTGGTTGTATGCGGCCCCTAACCACTTCCCCCTGAGAGAATGTGGCCCTTGACACCAACTAAGTTGCATCCTCACCCTAGGGTCTCATAAGCTGATATATTTTTGTAACACCTTTTCAGTTTCAGAGTCAGAGAGTCCTGTTCACCAACTACACCCTTGCATCTCTCCTCAATATTAAAATGTATGTTGAAATCTGTCACATTAATGCAGGACTTTCTTTCCTTCGTGGGCCAAGCTTAGGTCTGACGTGTGTGTTTGTTGCCTGCTTGCAAACCTCCTGTTTTCCTGAGTTTGCAGCTCAACTGCGGAAATCTGCTGTGGGCAAAAATATGTCATCCAAAGCAGCTATCTTGGAACACATTATGTTCTACATATTGCCACACACTGAAAATCAGTCAGGAGAGTTTTAAGGGACTCAAGTGAAAAGTTTGCATCTTTCCGACAGGCTGTTGCCATGGTGTAGCCCAGGTAGCCATGTTTTAGAAATAAGCTATCACTTTGACAGCATCGCTTGCAATATGTGAGACATCAGCTTGGACAGGAAAAGGGGGGAAAGAAATGCAAAAGAAAGAACTATCCAGAGGAACAAACGCCTAGATGTTTGTATAATAATGCTAGAAACTTCAAAGTAAAAATGCTGGTGGTGCCCAGAATCCAGTTAGAGATGTAATTGTTGATAACAGCCTGGGATCAAGCACTCTTGAATTGAAATTATGTAAGTGGAAAATTGCCAAGAAAGTCCAACATGGTCAATTTTAATTTTAGAAGATAATTACAAATAATATCTCTCTATATAACATATTTCCTAGTCTGTCATCACACTGTGATGGCACTCTGAACCTGTTAGGGGGCACAAGAAGCACACAGACTGAACCAAAACTTGCAGGAATCCACCTTGGACCCAAAATGGATCACTTAGGGAGGGGGAGGAAGAGGCACCACCATAACCTGATGTGGGGAGTTCTCCTCCCTCTCTTTCTCCCTGGGACAGAAAGGGTCTTTTTTGGACAGGGAGGAGGAAGAGATGCTGGGTGTGGGAGAGAGGATGGTTTTGGGGAAAGAGATAATTTGACACTTGTGTGGGTTTGGAATGTGAGGCAGAAGGAACTGGGGCATGGAGAGGGGAGACTGGTAATGGAAAGGAGAACTCTGGGGAGGGAGACTGAGGCAAGGAGAAGGGCGTTGGCAAAATGAAACAGCAGGAGGGCACCCCCTAGTTAGTTAAAAGGACGTTATAGAGGCATGCCAGGAATGTCAAATTTCACCAGAAAGCTTAGAGGTGAACACCATTATACAGCGGTACCTCAAGTTAAGAACTTAATTCGTTCCGGAGGTCCATTCTTAACCTGAATCTGTTCTTAACCTGAAGCACCACTTTAGCTAATGGGGCCTCCCGCTGCCACCACGCCGCCAGAGCACGATTTCTGTTCTCATCCTGAAGCAAAGTTCTTAACCCGAGGTACTATTTCTGGGTTAGCAGAGTCTGTAACCTGAAGCGTCTGTAACCTGAAGCGTCTGTAACCCGAGGTACCACTGTACTAGGAGCTCAGATAAAATGTATATCACAGATCAGAAAGGATATGAACAAGTTCAAGAGAACGCAAGCATGGTTAACTAGCATCAACAGAGTACTGTAATATAAGGTAAGAATTTCTGCAAGTGTTGTTTAAAAAGTGTCTGGCACGCACACACACACCGAGGCAAAACAAATGTAAGTTTATGATGAGGCAAACAAATAAAGAATGTAAGGACTGAGTTGCTAAAAACAACCAACGTGTATTTATTTGCATTCATTAGGTGCAGGAAACCAGTCAAAGAGGGAATAGGAGGACCTTTAAATGACAAGGATGTGAGAGGAATGCTGAAGAGATTGCAGAGAGGCTAGACCATGAATTATTTGCCTTGGCATTTGCTGTAGATGTTAGAAAGACACCTGAACCATTGTTTTCCAAAAGCGTATCTCAGAGGTTAGGACAGTCAAAGCGAGGTGACAGCGAATGAAAGCTTACAGCTAATTGACAAGTTACAAATTCACTAGCCGCCAGATGGCACCCACCTGAGAATCCTTTAACAAATCTCAAATGAGAAATTGCTAATCTTTTATTATTAAAGCCATCCTCCTTATGAAAGAATTTTGAATGCCGCAAATTTTAAAGAGGGGAGGGAATCCAGGAAATTATAGACTTGCCACTGTGCTGGGTATATGGACAGAAACATTATTAAAATTAGAAATGTTAAACATCTATAAGCAGTGCTATTTTTCTAGAAAAAGAGGTGTCAGAACTCACCATACACATCTCCCTTGTTCTATTATAATGGCAGGGACGGGGGTGGCGCTGTGGTCTAAACAACTGAGCCTCTTGGGCTTGCTGATCGGAAGGTCGGTGGTTTGAATCCCCACAACGGAGTGCACTCCACATGCTCTGTCCCAACTCCTGCCAACCTAGCAATTTGAAAGCATGACAGTGAAAGTAGATAAATAGGTACCACTGTGGCAGGAAGGTAAATGGTGTTTCCATGTGCTCTGGTTTCCATCATGGTGTTCTGTTGTGCCAGAAGCGGCTTATTCATGCTGGCCACATGACCCGAAGAGCTGTCTGCGGGGAAAATGCCGGCTCCCTTGGCCTGAAAGTGAGATGAGCACCACAACCCCATAGTTGCCTTTGACTAGATTTAACTGTCCTGGGGTCATTTACCTTTACCTATTGTAATGGCAATGGCTCCCACCTGAGAGGTGCTGGAACTGGGTTCCAGTAAGTTCCAGGTGGGGGGAAAAGTCCTGTCTAGAAGGATAAACCTTACGAACCATGGCTTCTGAAATTCTCCTTACCAATCTTTCTGAATTCTTTAAGCTTCAACAAGCATACACATTATGCTCTTGGGACTTCCAAAATACTTTGTCCAAGTCCCTCATCAAAGGCTCCTGAGTAAATTTAGCAATCATGAGATATGAAGCTCCTCATAAACTGGGCTAGATGTATTCTCTGTCTGATCCAGCACAGCTTTTTAAAATGTTGCTTTTAAATTGAAAATAAATATTCTTCCTCACCTGCTCCAGCTAATGTCCAGCAAAGCTATCCTGAAGAACTTAAGGTTTGGATTTAAAATACTCTTATGCAATGATTTAAGGTATTCCGAAGGAAGTCCCACTGTGGATAATGGGACTTAATACATTGAAAATGTGCCATTACGTACTCTTTCTGATCCAGCCTGCATGTTCAAGCCACACATCAGTCATCCACTGTGTCCTCAAACTGATTATGGAGACAGACACTAGACTCTTTTAGGGAGATTGTGATATCACATTACATCACAGCCAAGTAAACAGATTTCTTTAACAATATTGTCTCGGTTTTCCCTAGCTGGCTGGCAGGCACGCTGCATTTGTCAACTGGGATGCAAAGATGAAGGTTTGCTCTTTATGAATTGACTAGGTAACTTTATGGATGTTGTAACTTTAATAATAATAATAATAATAATAATAATATTATTATTTATACCCCGCCCATCTGGCTGGGTTTCCCCAGCCACTCTGGGTGGCTTCCAACAAAATATTAAAATACAATAGTCTGTTAAACATTAAAAGCTTCCCTAAACAGGGCTGCCTTCAGATGTCTTCTTAAAGTCTGGTAGTTGTTTTTCTCTTTGACATCTGGTAGGAGGGCGTTCCACAGGGCAGGTGCCACTACCGAGAAGGCCCTCTGCCTGGTTCCCTGTAAGGTGGCTTCTCGCAGTGAGGGAACCACCAGAAGGCCCTCGGTGCTGGACCTCAGTATCCGGGCAGAACTATGGGGGTGGAGACGCTCCTTCAGGTATACTGGACTGAAGCCAGTTAGGGCTTTAAAGGTCAGTATTTATCTTGCTCTAAAGCATCTTAAACTGGAGCAGAGTCTTTGTATTAGAACGATATTCTATGCCTTTTTATATACAGTGGTACCTCGGGATGCAAACGAGATCCGTTCCAGAGCCCCGTTCTCATCCCGAATGGAACACAAGTTGTGACGGTGCGTCTGCACGGGTCACGTTTCACCTCTTCTGCACACGCGTGTGACGTCATTTTGAGCATCTGCGCATGCATGAGCGGCAAAACCCAGAAGTAACACGCTCCGTTACTTCCGGGTTACCGCGGAGCGCAACTCGAACGAGCTCAACCCAAAGCACATTCAACTCGAGGTATGACTGTAGTTGAATGTTATTTACAAAAAATGTAACACAGGGCAGTGGCGTAGCGTGGGGGTGCAGGGGGGGCCGGCCGCACCGGGCGCAACATCGGGGGGGCGCTCACACTCGCAGCTCTCTGCCCCTACCTGGCTCACTCACTCTCTCTCACTGCAGTGCTGGCTGTGCGAATCCGATCCAAGCCGCTGGGTCGCCGCCCACTGTGGAGGGGGTGGGTGCCAGGCGTGCGGTGCGGAGAGAGAGCGAGGGACTATCTGGGGGAGGGACAGTGCAGCGGCCGCCCAGCGCAGCGCTGAGCGCGGGAGAGAACCACACCAGACCAGACCAGGCAGTAGCAAGAAGAAGCTGGCAGCGGCGGCAGGTTAGGGGTTAGGGGGCGCAAATTACTTGCCTTGCCCCGGGTTAGGGGGCGCAAATTACTTGCCTTGCCCCAGGTTAGGGGGCGCAAATTACTTGCCTTGCCCCGGGTTAGGGGGCGCAAATTACTTGCCTTGCCCTGGGTGCTGACAACCCACGCTACGCCGCTGACACAGGGCAGTATTCTGCTAAGTAACTGAGGTAGCAGAACAACTTCTGCTTGCACAATGGGCTTTCTCTCTTCTCCATGTCACCTGCGCTGTCCCCAGATCTTCTCCAGGGGGTTGGGGGAACCCCTAGAACAGATTATGAGGGTGCAGGAGGAAGGAGAGGAGAAGAATGTTTCCTTGCACTGATGAACCATTTGCCATTCCACCAATGAACCCAAGCATATAAAAAGGCATAAAATTCTTTTATTGGAGAATGCTTTATCACAAATCAGGGTACAGGCAGTGAAGCAGTGTGTGTCATTTCCGTGAAAATCAAGTGCATGCAGAAGATGTTTTAACCAGTAATTGTAGGAAGGAGTGTCTGGCAAGGTATGCAAGTCCTTTCTGGGGAAGGGAAGTGGCAGGTCAAGGTCCAATTAGTGAATATTGAGAAAGGGAGATCAGGGCAAAGCCAGTCTTGTCTTGCATGGGGCCAGTACAATTATCATTCAGCTATTCTTTTACTTGTCCCTGGACTATTCAAGCTGCTGTCACCCAGAAGCCTTATAATTGTTCAGCACATACAGTGCCCAGATCCCAAGAAGAAATGTTTGCACTCTGTTCTGCATTGGTCAGGCTGCCTCTGAAGTACTGAGTGTCCGGTTCAGGGCACCACATTTTAAGAATTACACTGACAAACTGGAGTGTGTCCAGAGGGTGGGGGACAGGATGATGAGGGGTGTGGAGACCAAGTCCTTTGGGGGAAAGTCAATACAGCTGGACATGTTTTGCATTGAAAAGGAAAGCTCAAGCTGAGAGACCATCAGGGTCTGCAACTATCTGCAGGGCTGTTGTGCACAAGATAAAGCAGACTCTCTTGCTCCAATGGGTGGAACAAATAGACCCAACAGGTAGGAATTGCAAGGAAGCAGGAAAAGCTTCCTGACAGTCAGAACTGACCATCAGTAGAACAATCTGCCTCCGGAGGCGATGGGCTCTCTTCCACTGGTAGTATTTAAACAGAGTATAAAGAGCAACCTACACCATCTTTTAGAACAACGGTCGCTAAATCATAGCCTCCCCCACAAAAAACCCAAACTGTCATTTAAAATAGTTTTCTTAATTGACCGCTGCCATAACTGTGTTCCCCACTCCTAATGTCGTGAGGCCCAAAGGTTTGTGGGGCTCCCAATTTTCCCATCCCCTCACACGATCAATTTATTCTTTTTTCTTTTGCTGAGCACTCCTTTAGATCCACCAATTATGGGAGAGTAAGATTATCATTAATAATTAATAATATTTATATGCCACTTAATATGCAAAATCCCTCAGCAGTTGACATAAAACACAGTAAGATCATTAAAAAGGAAAGGGGTGTGGAATGTATACGCAAGACTTAAAACCGAAAGTACATAGAAATACATCAGCAAAAACAGAGAAGCCATCAATACAAGATGCAGTTAAATATCAATAAATAATAAAGTAGAATAATGTGAAGAAAGTTACGAGCCGGGGAATGCCTGCTTAAGCAGATGGATGGGTCTTCGAAGCTTGCCACTGAGCCTAGGGCTTGCCAATCGGAAGGTCGGCGGTTCGAATCCCCGCGACAGGGTGAGCTCCCATTGCTCTGTCCCAGCTCCTGCCAACCTAGCAGTTCAAAAGCACGTCAAAGTGCAAGTAGATAAATAGGTACCACTCCGCCGGGAAGGTAAACGGTGTTTCCGTGAGCTGCTCTGGTTCGCCAGAAGTGGCTTAGTCATGCCAGCCACATGACCCGGAAGCTGTACACCGGCTCCCTCGGCCTGTAAAGCGAGATGAACACCGCAAACCCAGAGTCATCCACGACTGGACCCAATGGTCAGGGGTCCCTTTACCTTTACCTAACAGCAAGTGGAAGAGTGTCCCAGAGAGTGGTGGGATTCTGACCATTGGCCACTGTTACAGAACTTGGGGGGGGGTTTCCCCCCAAACACCAAAATTTATAAATGCTAGGATTTTGGGTTATTTGTGATATAAGCTGCAAAGGGGTTCCTGGGTAGCCTGGCCAAACTAGGGCCGTTAAGAGAGCCATTGCGGGTCATTAACAAGACAATGGAACTTCTTGCCCAGGTGTGACAAGAGATTGGAGATTTGGAAGGTTGCCAGGGTAACTGCTGTGGGGGAGGACAAGGAGCTTCTGGGAAGAAGAAAGGGTGAGATCCATCTTGGCGAAGGAGAAGGAAGAACTGCCTGCAATGCTTTGGACCATGCTATAAGATCTGGACCCCCTCCATGCAGACTGAAGGTGAAAATATAAAACCACATTTCTTGAAGCTCAGCTGTTTCCGCTTTGTCTTCCCTTCTCCAAAGGGACACGGCGCTGTGTGCGTGCCTGTGGCCCCACACACTCCTGCCACTGTTTGGCAGAGAGGGGGAGTGTTATTGTCCTGTTTGTGAGCCCCCCAAGGTACCTGTGAGAAACAAGATGCTTTGGTCTAATCTACCTGGGCTCTTCGTGCCTTACTGTCTTCATTATTTCCCCCTGGCTCTTTCAGGGTAACAACCACTGTCCTCCCAGATTAATTCATCAAAATGTGTCTTAACCTGGCTTCACTGTCTCGATGAAAAATGAGAGAGAGTAAGAGAGCAGGAGAATGTAACCTTTTAGTTGTGATTAGGAAAGGCTGGAGAAAATGAGAGAAGGGTGAAATTAGAGGCAAATGTACCAAGCAGCAACTGGCTGAGCATCCTGATGTGTTAGGAAAGCTGTTGCTGAAATTAACATTTGAATCATTTGCTGCCGCCTTTCAAAGTCAAATTCCTTTCTGCATGCCAGGAAATATCACATAGGCAGGGAACAAATATTTGGAGGAGCTATGAAGATGGGAGAGGAGTTCTAAATGAAAAGAAAGATACCCGTCTTGTGCCTGCTCTGTAAGGAAGATGTATTACTTAGCATAATTGAGCATGAAGAGCTGTGTGGTGAAGGAGGGGAGCAAACGGATGATTCAGAGGCAGAAAGCAAATAGCACAGGGGGGTATTTAGTTTATCCTAAACAGCTAGAGGAAGACATGGAATTTCCTAATAATGGCTTTTGGTAAGCATTCAGGCAAGGGTGACCAGGACACTGAACAATGATTGTGCAAAACAGCAGGATCCTCATTAGCAGTCACAGGGAGCCACAACAACAACACTTGTTAGTCTCTCATTATCTGAAGGTCTCCAAGCATCTTACCACCCATTTGTACAGCCCCTCTTCACAGCATGACTAAAAATTCATAAAACACCTTTTTTTACCTCAAGTGATGTTGGCTTACAAGTGATGTTTGCCAGTGTCATTTTCCTGATGTCACAGATGGATGGTCGAAGTTAAGAGAATGATGTCTTGCATAAACAGTGCTGTCGGGACAGAAATTCAGAGGCCCACTTAGCAGGAGGGTCCTCAAATGCAGCAAGGTAGGTGAACCACATTTGAAGTGTGGTAATATACAGTACCATCTAAAGGAGTCCCCACATGAAACCATTAAGTTCAGGGTAAAAAAATTACTTTGCTACACCACTGCCTTGCATAAAAAGCTGCCCTTTGCGCTTCATGTTCCTACCACTACCATTTCTCCACATCTAAGTACCAGGTCGAAGGCTGTCATTAGTTAAAGTGGATGTCTTGTATGCAGGAGCAGGAGGAAAAGACTTTCCTGGGGCAGGCTACAGTATGAGACCCTTCCTTGGAACCAGTGGGTATTCTAGGAAAGAAAATACATTCCTAGTGTCAGGATAGGGATCCATATGTATGTATCTGTAAAACAGTAATTATAAAAACACACAGAGAAAGCAAAAGCTACAATGGCCTTGCTACCTATCATAGCATATTTCTGCTAGTAAAGTGTTGTGCATGACTATGAAGCTTTATAAATAATAACACATCCTTATATTCATACATAACCCAGTTGCTGATTGTGTGTTGAATATTCAGCACCCAACAGAGGGTCCTTCGTTTCCTCTCTTCAGAATGGAAATGACCAGTTACTAAAGATAAAATATTCATTCCCTTCATTCTCTTTTCCCAAAGGCTCTCCTTACAAAATGTGCTTCTGAGAAAAATACAATTCGAAAGAACTGTCTTTGCATCAGATGGAACCACATCTTACAAACCAATCTATGCAACAAAATTCCACTATGCAGCTGGGGAGGGGTAATTTACACAGAGATGGCACTAGGGGGAGAGTGCTTAACCCCTCTTCCACCCACCTCTTCCCCCTTCCACATAACTGTCACTCAAACCTCCCTCTTCCCAGTGACATTCCAAATGTGTTTGTGAAGGTAAAGACTCATGGAGAATCCTGCTCTGTATGTGCACGTTGTGTTATGACACTGCAAATGTTCCTGGGGTATGGCTCCTAGATCACTCATAGCATCCAGTGTGAGAGGGGGAGCCAGATGAATAGGCCTTGCCTTGGTGAAGAGGTAGGACATTTTCACACATTACCTTTCAGCTGCCTTTGAGTCTTTAATGTGATTTGCATTTATGTGTTACTGTTAATAGGGAACTCTGGAGAAGCATTTGTAATACAAATGAGATTCTCACCTGTGCAGGACTGATGTGATGTCTGCATATAGGTAGGTGATGCATAGCTGTGGTGTATGTATATAGGGATGTGGGTGGTGCTGTGGTCTAAACCACTGAGCCTCTTGGGCTTGCAATCAGAAGGTCGGCGGTACGAATCCGTGCAATGGTGGTGAGCTCCCATTGCTCTGTCCCAGCTTCTGCCAACCTAGCAGTTTGAAAGCACACTAGTGCAAGTAGATAAATAGGTACCACTGAGGCAGGAAGGTAAACAGCATTTCTGTGCACTCTGTTTTCCGTCATGGTGTTCTGTTGCATCAGTAGTGGTTTTGTCATGCTGGCCACATGACCCAGAAAGCTGTCTGTGGACAAACGCTGGCTCTCTCGGCCTGAAAGCAAGTTGAGTGCCACAACCCCATAGTCGCCTTTGACTCGACTTAACTGTCCAGGGGTCCGTTACCTTTTTTACTTATAGATAGGTAACAGCGAAAACAGGAGTGCCTGGCGTGCTCTGGTCCATGGGGTCATGAAGAGTCGGACACGACTAAACGACTAAACAACAACAACAACACACACCACAGGTAACAGCAAGTAAAGAAACAGCTAACTGGTTACTCTTTGTTTGCTTTTTTCATTGCATAAAAATTTTTAATAAGCAACCATGCAGATTTAGCAGCAGTCTCAAAACAAAGGAATATAAGCATACAACTTATTGTTCTGTAATTTGTTTCTAACAATATATATGGCTGAACATTTTCTTGAGTCTGATCTTATTGCGCCAATATATAAAATATACTAAATTTTTCAATGACTAAATTATCAAGTTGTCGGCATTCCTTCCCTTTTACAATATCAGTTAATTTGACCATATAAGCCAATTCCTATACTTTCTATCCAGTCTTCTAATGCTGGAATAAATATATTCTCCAGTTTTTACATATTGTTATGCAAGCAGCCATTATGTTGCCAAATCCCTTCCCATACTACTTCCAGGGTGTTTCATCTCTATTCCAATTATTTTGATATTTATTTCTGGTTATAGCTAAACTCAGAATAATATATTTTGCTCCAAGTTATTGTTTCTGTTCTTTTCACCCTTATGTTTTCAAATTCTGTTAAATCTCCTGAGGGACCATGCTTCCTCAGTAAATGATCAGGGGTATGTCTTCTTTGAAAATGTTGAACAGAGAGCTGTTGCCCCAGTTAATCACTTACCTATTGATATTGGTAGCTAGGATAAAGTGAACCTGAGTTAGTTCCTCTTTAAGGTCTGGGTGAGGCTTCAACCCTCTCTCCCTCTCTCCCTCTCTCCCTCTCTCTCGCTGCAGACCCTGGAGCCACAGCAATGTACCTCTTCTCTGAGTGTGCAATACAAGCAACTCCCCATTTACAGGGGGGTTACCTTTCAAGGTACTGTGCATTTTAAGTGAAACTGTGTATATTGAGAACACCACTGAAAAAGCCTGAAAACACCCTCTAAACCTTGAAAAACACTTTAAAAAACCTAAAGTCCACCAAACCACCACAATCGCTGACTCCAAACTCCTTGCTCAAACTCCAACTGCCCACAGGCCTCAAAGGTTGGTGTAAAGGCGCCTGAGATTGCCAAATGCTATTTTTGTGCCATTTTTACAGTTTTCACACTCTTTTAGGGCCATTTTGCCCCTTTTCATGGCACTTGGTCCTGTATACCTGAAGGAGCATCTCCACCCCCATCGTTCAGCCCAGACACTGAGATCCAGCGCCGAGGGCCTTCTGGCGGTTCCATCATTGCGAGAAGTGAGGTTACAGGGAACCAGACAGAGGGCCTTCTCGGTAGTTGCACCCGCCCTGTGGAACGCCCTCCCTTCAGATGTGAAGGAAATAAGCAGCTATCTTCTCTTTAAGGCAGCGCAGTTTAGGGAAGTTTTTAATATTTAATGCTGTATTGTTTTTAACACTTGATTGGAAGCCGCGCCCAGAGTGGCTGGGGGGGCTCAGCCAGATGGGTGGGGTATAAATAATAAATTATTATTATTATTATTATTATTATTATTATTACTACTACTACTACTACTTCCGGGTTCACAGTGATGCACACAGTCACGGTCGGTCCTGAATGCCTTGAAACATATAAATGGGGAGTTGCCTGTACAGTTCTTCCGGGGCTTGCAGTTCTTAAACAAACAAGCCTTTTGTTAAATGATGGGAATCTTTTGTGAGCCGCCTGGAGAACAGAGCCAAGGGATGGACTGCAAGTGAACTCAGCGCCTCCTACTGGCCATGCCCATGGATTACTGCATGGTGTCAGAAGTGGGTTGCTCTCCAAGTTTTGCTACCAGCTGCTTGTTTGCCAGACGCAGAGAGGGAGAGGCAGGTGAAGAAGCAGGTTGTAATGGTGAAGAGGAGGAGAAGGTCCATGGGTCTCTTGTCAGTAGGCCCTTGTCTGGGAAAATTGGCCCTGGCAGGTGTCCTGCTATGCCAACTCTTGATGCTGGCTTGGCTCACCTCACAAAGCACACACATACATTGGTTTTCCACGTGGAAATATAGGGAATCTGGTCTGGATGGTTGTCAATTACTCGCTGCCATAAGGGATTGATTAACTGTTCATCAAAGGTGCCCTGGGACGGCCAGTCCACTTCACAGAGGGTCCTAAGCCTCTCCTTCTTCAACTTAAATCCCCAATCGTCATCTTTGGTGGCCAATTTCCAGTTGTTTAGGAAGCATTGCAAAGGGGTGCATTTACTGTTTCCCGACCCCATGTTCACCCAGAATACTCCGCTCCTAATCAA